GGCCGGGGCTTCGGGACGTGCTGTGGCCAGCTTGCCCCCAGGCCGGGAGGTGGCCCCGCGCAGGCCAGGGCCAGGAGGACCCGGGCCTGAGCCCACGGTGCCCGAGCACCGCCTCAGCAGTCGTCCAGCTGTGGGCAGGTGCCCATGCCAGCGGCAGCCTCGGCGCCTGCCACGTGGGGCCGGAGGAGTCGGCGCGGAGGCCAGGGGGCTTCCAGGCCAGCCCAGGGCTTCCTCCCGCGCGGCCCGAGGGCCGGCGGCGCTGACCGGTGTCTGCCGCAGGTCCCTGCGGGTCGGCCTGCAGATCTCCCTGGACTACTGGTGGTGTGCGCACGTCACGCTGCGGGGTGTGGACGAGGTTCGTGCGGGGCCCGGCGGGGCGGGGCCTGGGTGGGGCCTGGCCAGCCGGCCACTACATGCTGCACACACCTTGTAGGAAGGAGCCAGCTTGATGAAGATGGTGGTCCTCTTGTCCCAGATGATGATGACGCCCAGGCTGGCTTCCACCACCAGGTACTGGCCCACCTCCCGCGTGGTGTAGGTCACGTGGTGGCCCTGGTCCCGCTGAATCACTATGCGGTGTTTGTCCTCCAGCTTCAGCTCTGTCCTCTGTGCCCATAGGAGAGGCGGTCACCAGCCGGCTCTGAGGGTCCTGCTCCCCCCCCGCTGGGAGGCCCCGCTCACCCCCAGGAAGATCTTGATGGCCTTGGAGCAGGTGACGCCTGTGGTGCCGCAGGGGACGTTCTCGGTGATGATGCTGAAGGAGCCCAGTGAGGCATTCTGGCCGCAGTAGTCCTGGGCATGGGACATGACCCCAGTCACCGGGCGCCACGGAGCAGGAGAAGGCCAGCAGAGGCCTCCTGCACCTTCCCCAGGGCCCGGGCCCGGCCCCCGCGCTGGGCGGAGGGCCACGGAGGGCTCAGGACCCGGCCCACAGCCCCAGGGCCCACCTGAGCTGCGACATAGGAGCAGTGGCCCTCGAAGTCATAGTGCTTCCCGTCAAAGGTGATGTAGTGCCCACTGCCGTAGATGGCACAGGTGCCGTGGCACAGGAGCTGGGAGCACACCCAGCGCCCCCTCTGGCAGGTGCTGAGAGGAGGAGACGGCGGGTCAGCGGCTGCCGCTGACCGGCCGCTCCCCTGTTGTGGACAGCCCCGCGGGGCCGCGCCTCACCAGGTGTTGCAGTCCACCTTGATCTTGCCCCCAGGGGAGTACAGGTCCTTGTTATGCACACACGGGCAGTCCTTCTCCGCCACACAGCCACCGCGGCCGTCGTCCATCAGCCCCTCCGGGCACACGCAGCCGCTGACGCACTCTGTCTGGTACTGGGGGCGGCGGAGGGGGCGC